CCACTAAGTGGCATTTTAATCGTCCTCCCGTGGAGAACAGACTGTTTACTTCCTCGGTGAATCACGGCAAGGTGGTGCTGTTTCGTCTCTACCGTCCTCGTGACCGTTTAACAGCGGAATCCGTGGCTAAAACGCACAGGCAACATTCGATCGGCCTCCATCACATCCTCAGAAGCAAAACAAATCAAATCAGGGCAGCGCTGTTTTTTTTTTTCTCACAAGCTGCCCATCATTTGTGTCACATGCCTCTGTCCAAACAGCTGGGACTGGCATCCAGCATTTGCGTAAAAATGCTACGTCTTTGTGAACGTCACTTTTTCAGCATTACTACAGCATGAAAAATGCCTCTTTCACATCACATGCCAAAGAGCTGCACCCCTACTTTGCAGCACAGTTTGTCACGTTCCACCCCGATCATGGATTATTGGTAGTGTGTTCCACTAATGTGAAGGCAGCATCTGTGCAGCATGGTGGTGAGTTGCAGTGATAAGGAGCAGGACTTGTAACTGAAAGGTTCCTGGTTTGATTCCCAGGTAGTTTTTTTTTTTTTTAATTGATTGAACCAATTAATGTAAGTCACACAACACTGCAATGACACCGTGTATGGACAAAAATATGCGAGGAGCCCTTTCACTGCATGTACTCCTACATGAGCACTCTCTAATATCTCCCAAAGCTATATGCCACTCATATTTTATTACTGAAGTTCTAAACAAAGGCTCAGGAGGAGAAATTAACCAAGCCTAGATAAACCTGCCCCCTCCACTTACCACTCTCTTTCCGTGGCAGCTGTTTGCTGTATCCCTCCTCCACCCCATCTTCTTTTCCCTGTTTATGATGTCCCACAGCCAGGTTCTTTCCCTTTGTTGGACTCCAAGCCAAATAAAAGTATCACTTATAACCATATCAAAATCAACCTTCATGCTTTTATTGTATGAAAATTCATATCTACTGGATTATTCGTAGTAGTAGTAATAGTGATATTGTTATGGATATTATTATTGCAATAATTTGTGTTACAATACTTCGATGTGAAATCAAGCAATCAATCAACCAATCCACAGGGGTTTGACAAAAAAAAAATTGAACTAACACCCAATCAGGAGTGATTCAGCGAAGGGGTAAACAAAGCACCAGAAACAGAAACAGGTGAGGGCTTCTGGGAAGAGGCTTCTGGGAAACGCAATGAGATGCTCCATCAACCCTTGGCATGTGCTGCGGGTACACAGACTTCTGCAGAAACGGCCACTCAGAAAAGCATCTGAGTGAGGCTCGATCTGCACACCGCAGGCAGGCAGAGAGCCGCAACAGAGCCTGGCTCTGCCCTCAGCCTGGGGGTCCTTTCAGAGAGAGAAACAGGCCTGTGAAACAGGGTTTGTTTTTACACTGAGCACGTCTGACTGCGGGGTGGAGATGGAGCTTGGAGATGGAGTTTACCTGCTGCCCAGGTGGAGGTGTTCCTACCCTGGAGGGGTGTGTGTGTGTGTGTGTGTGTGTGTGTGTGTGTCAGGGGTGAGGATAGCTTGCGACTTGTGTCTTTCTCTTTGCTATCAGGCAAAGGGAGGGAGGTTCAAGTGACTTTTGTGAATCTTTTAGAAAGAAATATAAACTTTTTATTCAAATTCCTGCAAAGTTACTTATCCATTCACTGTGGAAAAGCTCTTGCAACTTGGAATGTGCAAAGCGTTTTAGGTGGTGGGGGGGTGGCGGTGGCTTTTCAAAGAAATGTTTTTCTCACAAACATTTTGAGCTTTCATGCAGGACCTTCCTGGAATGGAGCATGAGGCAGTACATACTAGAAACATGGCCTTTCTACTAAACAAGATAAAATCTGTAGTATAGTACAGATAATATCTGTAATATACCTTTATACCTGTAAGAATGACTTGTGAAATGCATGACACATGGAGCTTTTAAAGGAAATTAGCGCTGGCCTCATTTCTCAGTAGATTGCATAATGATTCTTTCGTCTAAGTGTAATAATGATTAATACGCTTTCTCACAAGGAAAGAAAAAAGTATTTGAGTCACCAGTGCAAAGTTGTTCCAGGCAAACTTAATGTCAGTAGCCCTTAACAGGGCTTGTTTTTAAGTGTCTGGTGCGTCTAACCAAAAACTTTCCCTGGGGTTTTTTGGCACTTACAAATTTGTAACAAACTGCAGGTGGTCCCGTTCCCCACCCTCCGCTCTTGGGCCACTACTCACCACGATCACTGGTGAAACCACAGCGCAGCACATGGAAAATGATCCAGTCATATCCATGCGTGACTATGACACCAGGAAATGGTGCAAAAGTCAGCTGAAGAGATTGCTGCATATTTTCCATTGTAGTGATGCTCAGGGCTTCACAGCTTTGTGCAGCCAGCCACTGTACAAAGCAGGCCGTGCCGGCAGGAAGGAAAGAGAGGGGGTCATTAAGCTCAATTTCCTCTCCTCAATAAAACACTCTACAGCCTCACTATCAGCATTTTTCCACACCCCCGGTGGCCTGTCTGTGTGTGTTTTCCTCACATTACACCACCATTAGGATCCCAGTTTGGAAAGCGCATTAGCATTCTACTTTTGTCAAGAGGTATAAAAAAAAAACCATACAAGGGCCTCTGCAATGACTGTGACTCTCCTGGGTTGCATGGACCCAAAATAGCAACGGATATGAACTCTATGATTACTCTCACGTGCGAGCGGGACAGGGAGCCTTTATGGGGCCCAAAATGGAGTCATCAATGTCTCCCTCATCTGGGACAGTCATAGCGCGTTGCTCCTGAGAGAGAAGTCTTTTGATCGGTCCATACGAGCTGGTGGCTGACAGCACGTGGTAGTCTTCACCCATTATGGGGTTCACAAAAGCATCACTCCACTGTTATTAGGCTCGAGACCTGAGCCAACCATCTGCAGCATGAGGCTGGGTCAACCAGTACAGCAGAAGATGGAAGGCAGGCCAGCTCGACCTATCGGAAGGTAGCAGGCAATGTAGGGCAGGCCATCTTGACTTATCAGAAGACAGAAGGGGATGTAGGGCGGGTCTTCTCGACCTATCGCAAGACAGCAGAGGATGTAGGGCAGGCCAGCTCAACCAATCACAAGACAGCAGAAGAGGGGTGGGGGGTGCTGGATATACATCTTCCATGTGAAATCAGTGCTTCCATCACAAATCAGACCCTTGGCTGTGGGACACTCCTTTCAGTGTGACACAATCCAAGCCTTGCATTGCAGAGCACGGGGCAGGTCCAAACCATTAGGTTTTAGGTTCAAATCCCAGAGACTGTTGTGCCCTCAGCTTAAGGATTCGCAGGCCAGCTGGACTTACCAGACAAACACATGTCATTATCAAAATTTACTTTTAATATTTGTTTAGCCTGCTTTTTTGTTTGCTTTTTAGTTTGGTTTTAAAAAGAAAAACAGAAAATATTTGCTACCCTAGACTGTGCTGACCATGTTGTTTTTGTCTTTAATGGTCACTTAGGCTGTTCAGTGAAAATTTACCAGCGATTTACAACATAATTATCAATAGCGGGTATATCTAATTGGAGCCTAAAGCAATAATTTATGGATGTTTGGCGTATAAATTTCCTGGAGGGCAGATTTTTTCAGAGAACCACCTCAATAAAAAGTCTAATTGCATCTCAAATTTCAGTTATGAGGGCATGTTCCCATGGAAATCTTCTACATGATAATATTAAGATTATTGTCTAATTAGGTAACATTTAAAAAACGTATTATGCAGAACATCTGTGGTCAACAGCCTGCTGCAGTTGCTAAGAGAAACTTCAAACCTGAATCCAAAGAAGTTCTCAGAAAAGAAAGAGAGAGGTGCAAAAAGATGGAGATGATGTAACATTCAGAATTGCATATTGGATTTATCTTAACTCTGTGCAAGTCATTTTCAGAGGTGGCTTTGTGATTGTGGTATTTTTTCCAATTGTATGTAGATTGCCATCTCCATTTCCAGTCAGCAGGTGTGAAGACGTAGTTTTCTGCCGTTTCAGAGTCTATACTGGGACTCTGATAGAGACTGGGAAAAGCCAAGCTATCATTACATGATTTCCTGGCCTTAGCGTACCGCACAGCACAGGAAGACTGACGTAGCTGACATTTTGCAAAGCCGAGCACCTATGGACACAATTCCACTTCAGAACCTCACTCAAGGCTAAAAAAGAACACTCTAAATCTGGTAAAGGGTAATTGGGGAAATCTAACCATCACCTGCCTGGAAGAAAATATTCAATTTTCTTTCTTTATCTTCTACCACAGCCTTCTACTACCAATGAGATCACCAGTGAGATAATTGATGCTACTTCCCCCACGCTCTTGGTACAGAAGTGTTGTGTCAATGTTCTAGTTACATTTCAATGTTTATAGCTTAGCTTCCCACAGTAGCATTTTGCACAATAGCATTGCTGTGCATGTGATATGTTTTTCATCAAAAATCTCCTTGTAACGATAGTGTATCATTTAAAGATAATAACTGCACAGATAGAGTACTCATGCCTGAGAGTAAAATCATATACATGAGCATTCCATAATATGCAGATATAAGCTGTAGAGCAAATTGCATGCATTCAGTTTAAGCTGCATAGCCGAATTAAAGACACTTTTCCTCCTTCATTTTCTTAAAACATTTATTTAAGGAACCCACAACAAAACAACCTTCAAAAGAGATTCGTACTTCAGTGTCCTCTGAGCCCCATCCTTTGCGAGTCTGTCCTGAACACCACCAGTGAGGAGGTGTCCTGTGTGGGGGTCTCATTCAACCGTATGAATGATGACAGTAATACATTGAGGGGCAAAGTGAAGAGAGAGCCACAAAGGTGCATGTGCAGCCTGGAAAATCCTGCTTATCTTGCCTGCAGCTTGGGGTTGCATGACATTATTACATTACATTATTGGCATTTAGCAGACGCTCTTATCCAGAGCAACTTACATCCGGTACAGTTTCTTTACAATGTTATCCATTTATACAGCTGGATATTTACTGTGGGTTAAGTACCTTGCCCAAGGGGACAGCCGGCTGGAATCGAACCGGCAACCCTTCAGTTACAAGTCCTGCGCCTTAACCACTATGCTACGCTGCTTTTCCTGACCTACAGGGATGACCTACAGGACACAGTGACAAACGTTTCCAGCACAACAGAAGAGGTAATGCAGATAACACACATACACACACACACTCACACAGACACACACACCTGAGTTCAAGTGCATCATGCGGCAGATGGTATTGTGCAGTTCCTTGGACTCCCATGTCCCAGTGGGTCAAGATGACAAAATTACAAATGGCTGTATTGTAAGTTCGGTGACCCCAACCAGCAGGGCACATTAACAAATACAGCAAATGATCAAACACATACCTGTGGGAGAGTTCAGGAAGGGAATGGGGAAGAGGGTCTGCAGTCGGTGCGCCGGTAGGTTCAAAGTTCAAAGCAAGGATGGTAAGTACAGCTCTTCCGAACTAGAGTGAGTTGGTCAGCATGGGTTGGGTTTCATCCCCTCAATTTGGTTTTGTGAGCCGTCACACAAAACACTGAGCAGTCATGTCCACTTCTAATCATTCATTCGCCTGGTTGGCATCATCATCCAGGAGAGAACACAGAGCTTTTATTGGACATCACCTTGCTTAAAGGTATAAAGCCAGTTTCATCAACCAGGATTTGAACCCACAGCATTCTGGTTACAAGCCAACATTGCAGTCCACATGACGTGGCACGTCAAGCTCATTCTCGCCTGATGCACACAAAGGCTAAGGGCTGAATCACAAAGAGAAGTCTAAACGTCTGTGACGTCGCCGCGTTTGCTTGGGGTGACACCGATGAGTGAATGAGCAATGATTTCAGTGAGGTCTCCTGTCAATGGCTGTATTAATATCTATTTGGAGTGAATAGATGCGCCTCCCACCTGGGGCGGCTGCGGCTGAGGCCGCTAAACTGCCTGTTCAAAACGAGGCCGGGCGACCTGGGCCTCTCCCACGTGCCCGGCTCTCCCACATCGAACGACGGCCCCGTCGCCACGGTGACACGTGTTCCGTTTCTCACTGACAGGGAACTCGTCACTCGTCACTCGTTTCATCTGAGGTGTTCCGGAACATCCTCTCTCTCAAAGATTCCTGCCAGAGTCTGTCACGGAGAGCGAGACACCATGCCACAATGTATGCCTTCCTTTCTTTGCACACAAGTCCATCTGAAACATGCAGCAGGGTCTGTAGGATGCTATCAAGATAGAGCTGATGTCCAGCTGACAATATTATTTTAATAACAATAATATTTCTGTTATGTTTTATTCATTATACATTATACATTTTTTATTTTTATAAAATTTATCAAGACATACATTTATTGTCATATTTCATCATTTGAAATATATTTTGTTTATTATTTTTATAATTTTTATAATTACATTTTACAATTTTTATTATATATATTATTTTCTTATTAATTTAAGGGATGCATCCAAAATATGTTGCTGCAACAACTCATGGGGCAGTCCTGCAAGGCGTTCATGCAATGTTCTCACAACGTTGCTGTGACATCGCAACAGCTCAACTCGGTCACCCCAGCATTAGGAAAACATTTAGGTCATTACTAGAAGGACACTGGTCTATTACCTCAATAAACTTGGCTTGCAATATATCTGGCACCTTGTTGGATGTTCTTGGTCTGAAAATGAGAGACTAATTAAGGCATTGGAACAGTAAGAGGCCTGAAACAGGACTGGCCGAGGCTCAGCTTTTTCCCACAGGTCTGGGTACAACACAGCAAGCAGGCGTGCCTTTCCCTCACTGTTCTCCGTTTACCCAAGCAGACGGTGGCTAGCGCGCAAGGCCACTGGCAGTCCCAGAGGACCCACACTAACGTCTGTTCTGTTCTGCGCTGTCTTGTCCTGTTCTGCTCTTTTTTCTGTCCTGTTCTACCCTGTCCTGTTCTGTCCCGTCCTGTCCTGCTCTGTCCTGTTCTATCTTGTTCTGTGCTGTTCTGATCTGTCTTGTTCTGTTTCGTTCTGGACTGCACCGTCCCATTCTGGCCTGTTCCATCCTGTGGTGAGGTGTGTCGTGACGTGGTGTGTTGTGAAGTGTGTTCCGCAGTGGTGAGGTGTGTGTGACACAGTGGTCAGGTGTGTGTCACAGTGGTGATGTGTGTGGTGAAGTGGTGAGCTGGTTGACACAGTTGTGAAGTGTGTTCCGCAGTGGTAAGGTGTGTGTGACACAGTGGTGAGGTGTGTGTGACACAGTGGTGAGGTGTGTGGTGAAGTGGTGAGCTGGTTGACACAGTTGTGAAGTGTGTTCCGCAGTGGTAAGGTGTGTGTGACACAGTGGTGAGGTGTGTGTGACACAGTGGTGAGGTGTGTGGTGAAGTGGTGAGCTGGTTGACACAGTTGTGAAGTGTGTTCCGCAGTGGTGAGGTATGTGACACAGTGGTGAGGTGTGTGGTGAAGTGGTGAGCTGGTTGACACAGTTGTGAAGTGTGTTCCGCAGTGGTGAGGTGTGTGTGACACAGTGGTGAGGTGTGTGTGACACAGTGGTGAGGTGTGTGTCACAGTGGTGAGGTGTGTGGTGAAGTGGTGAGCTGGTTGACACAGTTGTGAAGTGTGTTCTGCAGTGGTGAGGTATGTGACACAGTGGTGAGGTGTGTGGTGAAGTGGTGAGCTGGTTGACACAGTTGTGAAGTGTGTGACACAGTTGTGAAGTGTGTTCCGCAGTGGTGAGGTGTGGGGTGAAGTGGTGAGCTGTATGACACAGTTGTCAGGGTTTCAGAGACTTCTACCCACAACAACCGTCCTTGTAACTGCCTTTCAGGTCCTGTTGCCTGCTGCTTCCCCTATCTTCCTCAAGAGGGCCCTTCTTCCTGTCTGTGCCTTGCCTAATTTGGTTAAATATTTTCACCTGTGTGTAGTTAGTCTAGTCATGTGTTTTGTGTTCAATATGAGCCCTGCCTGTTTCTTTGCTCAGTCTTGTGTGCTTTGCTGCCTTGTGTGCTTTCCTGTACCATAGGTTTGGTTATTTCCAGTCAATAGTACAGATTCTTTGTCTTTTATAACCTCTTTGTGTTTTTGTGTGATCTCTGCATTTGGATTCCTCCTGCTCAACTGTTACAACAGTGGGGAGCTGTGTGACGCAGTAGTGAGTTTTGTGATGACGTGGTGATTACTGTGGTGCTAGACTGGGTAGGATAGGCCTCTAGGTAGTCAGGACACCTGGTTTTCCTATGCTAGCTTTCAGCCTGGCATTCAGAGTAGTCTACTGATCTACTCGCCTATGAGAAAATGCAAAATTGTAGGATGTTCTGATCTCAGAGGCAAAAATAATCTGTCATCTGTCTGAGGTAATTAATGACAGAGGAATGACAGGCCCCCAGGCATGTAATGAGCCTCCCACTGACATATCTACAAGGCTGTGTCCCTTCATTCAGGAGGTCAGAGAGTTCATCACTCCTGTAAGGTCACCATGCCCTCTTGAGGGACAAGCATTGAAAGTAAGCATGTACGATCATCAGTTTCAGCATAGCATGTACGATCATCAGACAAAATGGAAGCCTTTATGTACATGTATGTACACACACACACACACACACACACACACACAAGCACAATTCTTGCTCATTTAACCAACTTGCCTCAGAAATGTGTAATGTTTTAGACTGGGCAGCGCCTGTTTCAATGAGAATTTCAAACTGTCAGTGTGAGGGGGACAATGAGTATGAGTTTACGAAAACAGGAATACCCATGTTATGTGGCATCTCTCCATCCATCAGCATTCTAATGGCACAACAGACCTTGCTGCAGTTTGCGATTTCCTTTGAGGAGAGCTTAAGCCCAACCCCCCCATTTGCTGCCTACTGCAGATCTAAAGGATCGGAAGCCTGCGTTGAGATGTTCAGAGGCTGACCTGTTACATAACCTTCATTACACACATCTGACACACTCTGAGGAGGGGAGCGGGTTTTTTAATGAACCTGCCTGAGCTACTGAGCATGAGAGCTGCATGTCTCAATGAGAGGGGAGATTATTACAGTTATTATCTCTCTCATTACCCAACTCGTCTAGGTGTTTTTTTTTTTTTTTCTTCTTCTTCTTTCTTCAAAGCCTTTCAGAATTCAATCATTGGTAGTAAATGCATGCTATGAAGCTCTCTTCTGATCTTGTCTCTAAAACGACTACAGAGCAAGGTTCATCTTTATTTTAGTTTTTTTTTTTTCATGAAATCAGGGTAAATGTTCTAGATATCAACAGAGCCAGCTCGGACCTGGTTTTGAAGAACTTGCTAAAGGTGCAGGTTATCTCTCCAGGACTGAGGGATGTTGCAGGCTATGTTCTTATCTGCTTAAGACCACTGTTGGGCCACTCATTTATCTATGTGGCAGTCTGTCCATCTCTCTGATAATTCATCAGCCAGTTGGGCTGGCTATTTGTCAGCTTAAGTTTGCTGCATAAGGTGGACACTGAGTCTGACAGCTGCAATAATGCGTCATCATCTTTACTGCATCAGTTTTATTTTTTGTGGAAGATGAAGGTGATGATGATGATGATGATGATGATGATGATGATGATGATGAAGATGCACTATGTATCTGTATGTCTATCAATCTGTCTGTCTGTCTGTTAGTCCATCTATCAGTCTATCTGTCTACCAGTCTAGACTTGTAGAATTATACAAATACAGCACAAATACAGTACAAATACACTCAGAGCTTACATAACTGTCTTCTTTCAGTCTGCCTTAACATGTAATGCCTCCACTTACGCATCTAAATCGGTCTTCCTTATTCTCCCTGATGGGTTTTTCTGCATTCTGTCTTACCCCCGCCCTGACGGCTTCTCTGTTCGTGTTCCTCCCAAAGTCAGTCCAGGTCACTGGAAACACAACAGCCCCACAAAACCCGTCTGCTTTGTCGGAGGGTCTTCTGAGGCCAGCCAGCGCATTGGGGGAAGGGGGGCTTTCTGCCAACCTGGCAACCATGAAGCGGTCATGTGACTGGAGCCATGTTTATGTCATAGATAGGGGGCTAGGGGGAAGAGCAGGTGGAAATGTATCCCTGCACGCTGTGCATCCATCCAGCGGCTTTAACCATGAGGTAACAGATGC